AGCTCAAATGACTCTTCTTCGGGGCGTGAGCCAACAGATGGAAAGTCTCACTTTCTCTCTCCCTGCCCCACCAGCCACCCTGTAACTCTGCCTTTCAATCAAATAAAATAAATCTTCAAAAAAAAATAATAATCTGGAAGTCACATCTTTTCCTCCAACAGAAGAACAACAATAAAACTAAAAAACAACTGGGCCTTAACAGAAAAAGGAACAAAATCAACAGCTCAATGCTGAGGCATTTATGAAATAATCTTTGGACACATTTCACTACATACTCCAAACTGACAGATGTCAAAAGGGAATTTGTGATGGCAGGATATTAGGCTTTTAAAAAGCACTTGTAAAGCAAAACAAAAACAATATTTTGGGTAGAGGAAGAAATAATTAAAAGTTGGTTACTCTGGCTTTTATCTTTGATCTTTAGCACAAGGAACAAGAAAAAGGCACAGGGAGATGTTGGTCCTTCCCTTTGCCCTACCTAGAGGTAACGTGTTGCTTATCACCTTGGGCTAGCCAAAGTCTCACTGACGCATATTACTTTTCTTCCATAAGATATGGTGGAGAACTAACCCATTTACTAGTTCCCTACACTGATTTTTCTTTGAAGTCCTTGTCTCCATAAGATATTACATATGATCATTCTTTATTGCAATGACTCCCTATAGAAAAAAACAAGATAATAAGGTCTACAAGAAGTCCTTGATTCAATCCCTGAATAGAGCTGTGGCAGTATATAGCAGTGCTTAATCAGTATCTAATGAAATAAACAGATGAAATTAGTGGTCAGGAGTCTTGACAAAGCAATGAGAAATTTCATATATATTTAAGATACTCAAGGTTGAGATCATAACGTAGACTGCCTCCATGAAAGAATAAGGACGCCTGCAGATGACATTTTTTTTTTTATGTTTAAACATCCTCCAACATCATAACCTTGACAACCATGATTCTGCTCTTTCATTTTTCCTTTAAATACATGAGAATAACAAGTTTATATTTTTCAGTTTAGGCTGTGCCTGATGTTGGGCCAGAACAGTGATGCTGGCATTCCTTATAGGTACCAGTTTATGTCCTGGATGCTCCACTTTTTAGTTTTTCAAAGATTCATTTATTTTTATTTGAAAAATAAGGTTACAGAGAGAGAATGAAAGGCAGAGAGATTGTCCATCTGGTGGTTCATTCCCCAAAATGCCTTAATGGCTACAGCTGGGCTGATTCAAAGCTGGGGGCCAGGAGCTTCCTCACAGTCACTCACATGGATGCAGGGGCCCAATCACATGGATGCAGGGGCCACCCACAACTGCCTTCCCAGGCCTCTAGCAAGGAGCTGCATTGAAAGCAGAACAGCCAGGACTCAAACTGGTGCCCATGTGGGATGCTGGCACTGTAGGCAGAGATTTAGCTTGCTATGCCACAGTGTCAGTTCCTTTGGCTGCTCTTCTAATCCAGCTCCCAGCTATTGTCCTGGGAAAGACGGGAGAAAATGGGCCAAGTGGTGAGGCTCCTGCAACCATATGGGAGACCTGGATGAAGTCCCCTGGCTACCGGCTTGGGCCTGGGGCAGCCCTGGTAGCTATAGCCATTTGAAGAACGCATTAGTAGATACAGGTTTCCGTTTCTCTCTCCTCATGGTCTTTCAAATAAATAAATCTTTATAAACTTAAATGTATACTGCTTAATACAAAATGCACTTCAGACATGAAATTCTTCTTAAAGCTTTAAGTTGCATATTAAGATAGTCCCAAAAACAACAAAACGAATTTAAAAAATAAACAAAATAATATAGTCCCAACAGTTAATTGGTAGGCACAGGGAAGCTGGGGGGAGAATGGAGATGGTTATATATTTTCTTTTTACTTATTTCCCGCACTTGCTTTTCCATACTTTTTTAATCTTCTCTAATCTCCATCTTTTCTCTTTTTTCCCCATAGTGTTTTGTGCTGTTTTCTTTATTCCTTCTTCTGTATTTTCCTATACTGGTAGCTAATCCACAATTCATGCATAAATATAAAACAATCTTCCTTAATCACTGAAGATTCCACAAAGCAGAGTCCTTCCCAAAGGTAGAACATGAAAATGACCACATGTATAAGGTTTAGCAAATGCACAGGGCAGCTCACTGGTCATGAAAATGCTCATGACTTTTTAGTCTCTGTCTTACCCTCCACTCTGCACACAGAACTCTTTTGACAGGGAATCCTACAATCATCAGACCTTAGAACTAGCCTGGATCTTAGAGATCACCTACTCTAAGAACCTCAATTTACAAAAGAGGAAATAGAGGTCAGGGGAGGTTAAGTGACTTGCAAGGGGTCACAAAATTAATGAGTTGACAGGATGTAGAGATCCACATGTCTTGAGTGCCAGACCAATCCCTCAAGAATGAGTACATAGCACGTTTCACCAAAATCAAAGAAAAGATAACCTATCTATAACAAAGTTTGGAAATTAACTTCAAGTGCTTAAAAGCATAAATCTGTCCACTCCCTAAGATATTTCCAGATATTTTATTTTTTTCAAGTGAGTAAGCATGTGCAGTTAAGGAAAAAAATATACTACAATGTTACACTATTTTTTTAAGTTCTCACAGCCATTTATTTTCTCATATTTAATAGTTTCCCATGTAATATCTTACACACTTGGTGCCTATTCCATTACACTGACCTCTAACATGCCTTTCGGTAATGGAAAGCAGCTGATTTTAATGTGACGCTGCTTTAGTGTGAAGGATGTTAAGGCTGTGTTTGTGTGCAATCAGGTTAAGATTGGCTCCAACAGGAGAAAAAATCCATACATATGTTGAAAAGATCTGAAAAAAAATGCCTGTATTCACAAACTGATTACGACTTACATTTTTGCATGGTTTGTCAAAGCAGATCACTGAAATCAAATCAAGATGTAACATGGGATAAAGTGGTTTTTTTCCCTATTCTTCCATTAATCACCATGACTTATCAAAGAAACTTTTTCCTCCCTCACCTGAGGCAAGGTATGCTACTAGACCAGTAGCTATGCCAATTTTATCAATCGGTGCTCAAATTACAAAATTAATTTTCTAGTTTCATTTCCTACATTTGTAAGTTATTTTACTGCAGAGCAATTCACCATTTATCAATATTAATTCTATTTCATTTATCAAAACAGATCAATATAGTGTTGAAAACATACTTATTTAAAAGCTTAAATAAAAATTGATTCATCAGACTGAAAGGTGTATAAATAGGGATTAGAGTGATAACTGGTCTTTTCTAATGAATTAAATTTGGGAAAACCCAAAACAGAATCCATAGTTGGCTTGTCAAAAAAGACTCATCCCAGTTGATACAGAAATATTTGTATTTAGCATAATTTACATTGCTGGTAAGTCATATTCAATTAAGAGAGTATACTGTCACTGGTAAGCATCAAAAAATGCAAATGGAACATGTATTATGCTTGAAAATCCAGCTGTTATCTAGAAAAATTCTCAAATTAGATTGAGGCTTGGTCAGAATACTTTGGGAGGAAAAGGGACTGGGTTGGCTGTGGGTGCTTGTTTGCTCTCAGAGCATTTTCAGTTTAATTTTTGCTATTAACGTAAACCACAATTGGGGGGTACCATGCTGCTGTTAGAGGAGCTGGGGATAGGCTAGCTACATAAACAATGTGCAACAAAGAAAGTCTTTCTTTCCAACACCTGAATACATCGGGTTTGTTTTTAGGCAGAAGGTTGCAGGTTAAATGCTCTCAGCTATCCCAGAAGTGGCTTATTAGTTTTGTAAGAAAATATTTTCTTATATTTTGACTGAAAAATAACCAGTTGAAGGGAACAAAACCATCCTTGTTAGTGAAAAGTAGACCCAGAAAAAAAAAAAAAACTATTTCAAAGACTCACTAAAGAAAAGCAAAACTAATTCAAGAGGAAAAGCTGCTTTCGTACTTGGAGCTTCTGAATCTGGATCCAATCGTTCTCAAAGGCTAACGGGTCTCCGCGTCTTGAAAGTTTGCCTTTGTCCATGGGTCATAGACATTCCCTATGAGGCAGCATAACATGAAGATCAGCTCTTTTTAAAGCTGATATATATTCTGTTTCTGAGCTAGCGGCCTGAAGCTGAGAAACTGTGAACCCACTGAAAGAATAAAAGCCAACAAATGTTTGGACTATCAACAGATCATGGTAAAGTTTTGATGGTTGCCGTTTTCCAAACACAACTTGTTCCAGCTTTTCTATCTTATGCATCAGACGGTCCCAGCGTGATCTCAGACAACGTAGTAACCCAGTAAATGGCGACAAGCCACCGTGGCTTGAAATGTCACGGTGACAGTTCATGTCACTTTACCGCCCACTGCAGCCCAACACCTTAGCTCTGTCCTCTTCTAATTTATAAATGGGCCTAATCCTGTGATTACAAAATAATGACTGCAAATCACCACAATTACTACAAGAACTTGAATGGACGGACACACACACACCCCAGTAGCTGTTTGCTACAAATTATTATGAAAACAAAGAACAGCAGCTAATTGTGGTAACTTTAAGACGACGTTTATTCCTCCCAGTGTTTGGGCAAGTTTATTTTAACTTGTCAACTTCAACTAGTAATGAGGCAGATGACTACACAGATTCCATGAACCTTCCTAATCTAAACTCTTCCCCGCTGGAACTTGGCTGCTGCCTTCGTAGCAACATCTGCAACGGCCTGATTTCATAAGAACCCACTTCTATGGTACATTGGAAAAACAATATGCACTTTCAGAAAGCTCACTTTAGTAAGCTCATTTATTCTATTCCCCTCTAACTTCAATTTTTAATATTTAGGAAAGTAAGTGAAATAATCTTTCACAGCCTTCACAACACAACAGAGGAATTCCCTTGTAAAGATGGTGCAAGATTCTACTCCTCACCTTTGTGATTCTGAAGTTCCTTTGACACATAATTAATTTGAATTGGAAGGAAATATAGGGAGGACAGGGAGAACTTGGAAAGGAAACAGCGGAGAGTCATGGCCATTCACACCTACCTCCTGGGCAGTGCCTCATGGCCATCTTACATCTCCTGGATTCAGCAATGGTTGGACACGGTATTGTGTCCTTCGCAGGCTTTTTCACAATTTGCCGTGTTCTGGTTTCCAGGCCCCATTTAAATCCACATGTGCGATTATTTCTGCTGCAAGTTCCCCATTCACTCCAATGACCGACTTCACAGCCTTCTAATACAGAATAAGAAAAAGAACACAAACACAGATGACTCTTAGATATCCATTTTGCTCCACTGTCATCAAATTTATGCAGCAACAATTCTCCCCTCCTCCACCTCTTTATGGCAAAGACTGAGCAGCTGAGCAAGGAAGACCACCTGCCTTTGGGGAACGCTTTAAGCCACAGGCATGCATTTCCATGATAAGCAAATTCCACACAAATAATTTAAAACCTGATTTTTTTTTTTCATTTGTCCTCATCTTTTTAAAGAAATACCACTGGTCATTTCTAGAGATACCAAAAGTGTAATCTTTGAACGATTCAACAGCTAAAACCTAAAGTAGAAGACTCTATCATAACACAACTTTCCAGATTAAGCCTGAATGCCTTCTGCCCCCGTAAAGCCACAAATGTGTGTGTTATTTTGGAAACACTTGATGAGCAGGATGGAATTTGTACAGCATTTTCTCCTTTTTTTCACTGGTTCTTTCAATGGTATTTAGAAATGATGTATTTAGTACTCCCTCTATTGGTGTTATACATTTCAACAGCTTAAAAACTAGGTGAACATCATCAGATATTTGGAAAAGCATGTTTATTATAGGAAAGAAAGTTTTATGTCCCCTTTTGTAAGTTTATTTAGTGGAAAGTAGGCACCCTCCCAGGCTCCTGAGGAAGGAGAGCAAGGAGAAAAATAATGAAAGTAGGCAAAATTAAACCTTCCTGTCAATTCTCCATTAAACAGCACTTCCATATACTGAATGATAACTCAGCTCCAAAGCGCCATGTGTGCGAGCACACACACACACAGACACACACAACTAATATTTCACTGTTCTAGATCTCATAGACATCAAAATATTTTTAGGAAGATGGCAAAGATCTAGTAGTATTCACTTTAATCAACAAAAAAAAATTCATTTTTAGGATGAATATATTGGTCATTTCTAATTTAAAGAAACAGGTGTTGAAAATGAGAGTTACATTAAAAACTACTCACCCACACATTCCATGGTTTCATCTAATGGTGCAAAACCATCTGGACATTCGTCAAAGCAGCGGCCTCTATGCAAATAGAAGCCTACTTTGCACTTGGTACAAAAGTCTTTGCTAAAGCAAGAATCACAGTTTTCTATTCTGCATCCTGAAAACAATTTTAGAAAGAAAAAGAAAAAAGTTTCAGTCAAAGAAATTTACTAGTTTGGCAAATAAAATTTTCACAAACTTACAAGTTAGCCAAATTGAAATTCTAGTGGTCAGAGAAATGGGTTCAATGCATTTGTTTCCCAAAGCTGTCTCATTCTAAATCACTCCTATCTCTTCCATCAACGTACCACATCAATAAGCTAAGACAGAATGCCAGTTCAGAACCCTGGGCAGTAAGAGATGCTTCTGAAATATTTGCAACTCCAAATGGGATTACAAAAAAAAAGATTAAAAGGAAGGGGGAAAAACATTTCCACTACAAATAAATTACATTGCTGCCAAAACTAAAATCAGTTCCACCCTTTAAAAGACTGACAATGAAAAACATAATGGAAACACTATCTTCTGTTTAGACATAGTAAGTTAAGAATTTTCATTTTTTAGAATATTTATTTGAAAGATGAAGTGAGAAAGAGACTGAGAGATCTTTCATTCACTGGTTCACTCTTCAAATGGTCACAACAGCCGGGAGCTTCCTCTGGGTCTCCCACAAGTACAGGGACCCAAGGACTTCAGCTATCTTTTTCTGCTGGAAAGAAGCTGGATCAGAAGTGGAACAGCCAGGACACAAACCAGCACCCATGTGGGATGGGTTGTACCACAAGTGGCAGCTTTGCCCACTACACCACAGTGCCAGTCCCAAGAATTTCCATTCTAAAAAAAGTATTTTTAGAAGTATGGTCTCTATAGAGTATTTGTCAATGCCGGCGTCCAGCATTGAGTTGACTTACTTGACTCGGGCAGGAGTAGGAAGGCTACATAAATACCATGCTTTAGGTATTGTTTGTCTCCCAAAGGCTCGGCTAGCTTAGAGTGCTGGTCCTGATGGCGGTTGTAATAAGGTGATGGGACCTCTAAGAATCAGAGCCTAGTGCAAGGTAATTAGGCCATGAGGAGCACTGCTCTTGGAGGAAAATTATTGTACTTTTCAGAGGACGCTGGTTCTATAGAGAGACAATTACCCCAAAATACCAAGACTGGTCCCCACCACTCTTTGCCTTCCTGTGTGTTAGGTGACACCACTTCACATTTGCTCTATGAGTCTCTCAAAGGCTGAACACATGGGCTGCCCAATCTTGGGACTTTCGGCTTCCAAGTTGTTAACAAAAGAAACCACTTGTTAATGTACCCATCCTTGAGGATTTTGCCACAGCAATAAGATTCAGACTGAAGCATTCTGTTGAAAATCTGTGATATTATAAAGCTTTACCTAATTTCCACTATTTCTTCATAATAACCCTACCAGGTGAGTTAATAGCATCTCCATTTTGCAAATATTGGAACCTGAAGCTGTGAAAGCAAGTATCTAAGCTAATAGTGGCTGAGTTAGTCCTTTAAATTCCCATCCCCCAAACTGTCTACCTCCCAAATCCATTCTCCTTTCTCCTTAACTCACTAACTAGAAGCAGTTGAAGGAACAGAAGTGCTTTCTGGTCTGTAAGATCTGGATTTGGGTGCCATCTCTGTCTCACAGCTCCATGTGTATTGATAATTACATGTCTCTCCTGGCACTTACTTCTTCATGCCTAAAAATGGTACATAACTGACCTTACAAGAATATTGTGAAGATTCCTAATATTTGTAAAGTCACTTGTTCATAAAAGATAGTCTACAGATAGAATCCACGTAAATTAGAGATATATTTTTCCAATAAGTCACATATATTACAACAAAGTATAAAGAGAAGCAATAATTTATCGGCTTGTATTCTGGGTAAGCTTCCTGGTAAACCAGAAACATTTGGGCTAGAAACTGCTGGCTACAGGTGAAAATAAATACACTCCAAACTACAAGAAGAAAGAGAAGTCGATGAGATTGGTTAAGTGGAAATTCAGGTTCTTAATAGTGCATCGTAGTACACTATTACTTGTAACATATTTAACTAATGATAATGAAAGAGACAGAAAGCACTATGAAAATTCTGTACAAGCACCTTTCATCATTCGCCAAGACTTCCACACTGTATTTGATCCTTTAAGGATTCTCAAAAAGCTTAAAAGACATTTCCGCAATGGGCTATAAAGTATAACTAAAATATGAAATCACTGGCATTTGGAGAAAATACCAGAAAACAGAGGTAAGGCTAAAGATTCCCCATTAAATATATCACATTATAAATAACAGCGGTTGTCAGACTCCTAAGAAGAGCACGGCAACTCCTTTTCCTGTCATTTTATATTAAACGACCACCATGAAGCAGCTAAGTAAACCTCTCAAATGTTGCCAAAATCATAATCAGAACTCCACGATATGTGGGTTAAAGTCCACAGATAAATTACACCATTGCTCCTTCCTGGGGGAGAGAAATGGTGGGCACAGAAGCAGAGTTTATTGCCCCACAAAAGGTTCAGTTGTTGTCTTAAATGCTGAAACCTGTATTTTAATAAACCAATGGAGTATAGCTGGTCAGCAGCCTCAGAATCATGGGCAAAATACATGACCATTATGTCCACAAATTGTTGGCTTTTCTTGGTACATTTGTTTTAAAAGCAAGCAGTCCTTCCTGTCACAGAGTTATTTGCCAAGAAATAATAAGCATTCCAAAGGAAAAATATAGAACTAGCCAGTGACCAGTCTAACACATTTATATAGAGAGAGGGGTATATACTTTATAAGTCAGCTGTTATGAAATGTGTACTTATGTTTGACTTCTTTTTATATATTATCTGCATGGATAAATAAGCTCTATATCATAAAGTCATGAAAACAAAGGTTTGGAATTTTATAAATGTCTTTTCTGATTTGTTATAGGAGCTCCCTTGATTTCATTTCCCACTCCTGTTACCAGTGGATCGAAGGTAGGACTTCTGAAATGACTCATTCACTGAAAAGTTTCTTAAGATTTCTTCAAGTATAAATCCTGCTAGAACAAAGATCAATGACTTGTTCTCAAATTTAAGTACAATGAAAATATGATATGTTCAAATTACAGAATGACAGCTATTAAAAAGCAGAAAGTGAATTATAAGTAACGATCCAGAAAAACTTGCAAGCCTATGGCCAAGTCAGGTTAAGCTGCAAGACATTTATAGAATGACAAAATAAAAGTGTATACGTGTATTTATATAAAGAAGCTTAGAAGCAAACCTTGGGGGAGTACGATAGTATTTTGAAATATGTTAAAATTTTATTTCTGAATCATATAAACCTTTTATAGTGTAACATTTGTGTAATAAAAACATAACCAAAAGGGTTATTACGATATACATTGTGACACACTTAAGCTTATTTTAAAATTTCACTATAGTAACATTACGAAATAAAACCTTTTTGATTTTAACAGACAAGAATAAACAAAGATCTATTATCCCATCCCAAACTGTTTTCGATTTGGGTACATGAAATTTTATCCTTTATTTAATAATGATGAACCATCTCTTGCCAGTATTCTATATGTTTTCATATGCTCAATGGTGCTTTTCCTCCACTGAAACCATGGAGGAAAAAAACTAAATAAAATATTGTCTATGCAATAAAATATTTTTAGAAGACTCTTATTGATGCCAAGTTGTAACAACTGAAGCTCCGCCGGCCTTCCCGGCTTCAGTCGCTGATTGCCAACGTAAAAACAAAGCAGGTGACTCATGCATTCGGCACCCTGCACTGACAAAATTCATCTGATCACAAACGTCTAGGAGCGCAAAGCCTTGAACAGCTACCAGCTGCATAAAGCTCCCACCCCAGAAGTCTTCACTCCCTGGAAACCTCTTTCACAAGCTGGAGACCCACCTATAGCCCCCTGCTGTTTATCCACTTCTCAAGGAAGTAACACCTCTGCTTTGGGGAAAAAATTCTTTGAAAGGTCTTATAATACTAAACTTTCACCCCTAGCCTGCAGGCCCTCGAGGGCAGGGACAGAAAGTCTGCTTATTACATCATATTTGAATGAGATTCACATCAACTCTACCAACTTATATATAATCAAATTATGATTTATTATTACTTTTTTTGCTGCATCCCATGTGTTTTGATGTCTTTTAATCTGTTTTATTTATTCCAAAGGTATTCTTTTCTCTTGTCGGTTTATAATTGCTTTTAAAGATAGATATTATGGCATTCTCATAAATAAAACTCCCAACAGTACATAAGATTCTCTGTCTCTCGCTCGCTCACTCTCTTGCTCTCTCACTCACACACAAAATTTATTTAAATACAGAAATCCCCTTTTACACCCAACTGGTAGATTAGGCCCACCCCAAAAAGTACCACTGTGTTAACATTTTCTTAAACACACTTTAAGAAAATCTCTATGTATATCTTATAAATAAATGTGTCAGATGCCAGTAACACACCATTGGAACTACACAATAGGTTGCTAAAACTTAGAAAGCCTTTTATGCCTAAGATAATGGGTCTGGTACATCAGAATTTACTTAACATAGGCCTTTCCTATAAAACTGTGCTTTTAGCCCTTGTTCTGAAATGTAAGATCTTAACAGACAACTTACTTGCTGCTAAATTACAGCATCTCCTCAAAAATGTACCCCACCAGATGAGGACTGCCCAAAGTGATTTAAGTAAAATGACTGTCCAAGTTCAACTGTTTCCAAAGGCAGGCCAATGAGGCTGTCATCTGGCAAGGAGGACTCAGCCTGGACAAGAAATAATACAACAGGCTGGTTCCCTTATCCCCTCACACTACTCCAACAAATACCCCTTTCCTACCATATTTAATATAACATTTTAAAAGTTATATTGTAGTCCAGTTCGTTTGTTCAGTCCCAGCAGTCTTGTGTCAGACCCTGTAGATATGACCCCTCAACAGTGGAGCCTTGTCCTGGAGGAAGAGGATTATGTGACACACATAGAGCACCAAGATAAGGCATAGAAGCTATTAGGTGCTTCTCCAGACTCTATTAGACACAGAGAGAAGAGGTGCAATTCTCTTCTGCCTGCCGCCCAAGTATTCCTTTTTCCAGTCAACACAGCACTGAAAAC